GGGATCTTGGGCACACACGCACACGCGCCTGGCATGAATTTTAAGCCACCGGGTCCGGGACGCGAACCGCGGTCGATTATGTGGGAGTCCAGCGACATAGCCATTACGCTAACTGCTGGTTCCCAATAAATGATTCTTTAAAAAAATATTAATGAACTAGTTTGACCATACTGCAGTCTGCTTTCCTGTTGTTAACAACTGAATTCCATGGACTAGGTATTTATAATGAATAGAGGTTACTGCACTTGTAGTTTTGCAAGTTTGCGGTCAATGGGACGCATCTGGTAAGGATCTTACTGATGAAGACTCTGCGGAGTCCAAGCCAAACAGTATTATCTGGTGACAGGGTCAGAGCTTGCATCTGTCTGTGTCCAAGTGTTTCTGCTCTGGTCTCACTTCCTCTTCTTATAAACTCACCAGTATTCAGTTGTGGGGACTCCCATTCTGATGATTTTACCTACTTTTATCAACTCCCAATGGCTTCACATTTTTTTAAGAATTATTTTATTTAACTATTTATTTATTTACTTACTTATTTTTAATTTGACCAGAGAGGGATAGAGTGAGAGAGAGAGAGAAGGAAAGAGAGAACACAAACTGCCAGGCCTGGGACTTGAACCACAGTCGACTATGTGGAAGTCCAGTACCCTTAACCACTATGCATCTTTGGGGACACATTCAAACCATAGCAAACTATCTGTAAGGAGATTGATAGGTTAGAGGTTTTTGCTGTTGTTGTTGTTACGGTTCCCAAAAAGTAGTATATGAATATGTGGAGCCATCCAGTTTCTTTTTTTTTTCTTTTAACTTCAGACATTATGAAAACATGTGGCAAGTGAATGGAAACACAGTTCATAAACTTAGAGAGCCAAGCATACTTAGACCAGTTTAGGTTTAGGCATCCACCAAGTTGGACAATTTTTTAACATTTAAAATAAAACTTTTCATTATGAAAAACAAAGCAATATATTAAAACTGGTTTCCAGAATTGTCCAGATTACTTTTTAAACACAATTCAATTTTTGTTACATTTAAACACCAAGTTGGTTTTTTTTTTTTTTTGGCAAATCTATCCAAAATATTGTTTGCATTTAGAACTGAGTTTGTGTAAGTGTAGCCTAAAATCATGTCCATCAGGTTACCTTCCTTTAAGCCCTAATGATTATCTTCCCTCTAAAATGTGTCATTCTCAAAGATATTCTGGAGATAAACTTCTGAATTAAACACACAAATGCTTCTTCACTTCTCTTATACTGTAGCAATTTATCATCTAGCTCATAATGGTCTATCAGTTGAGTCAGGCTTAGTTTCTTGTTCTCTTCAGACATAGCTGACTGCAACTCATAAAGCAACAGCTGGCTACAGCTTCTCGACGTCTTTATTAACAGCTGTAATTGAGACAAGTCATTCTTTGATCTATACATTTTGACTAGTTTTAGCCTCCAAAGAAGGTCTTCTTCCTCTTAAATCTGCTTCACCAATTTTGCTTTTTATTCATCTAATGCTTGTTTAGGATAACTCTCCTTCAAAAAATTATTTTGGAGTGCATCTGTATCAAGTGATTTTGATTCGCATGCACTGATTTTTTAAAAAAGAATTATTTTATGTAAATATATATATACATATATATAATATATATACATATATATATAAACCATGGTGGGCCATGTGAGAGTTCAGCGCCCTTAACCACCACGCCACCTGCTGGCCCTCACATGCACTGATATTCTTGAAGGCATTTTTCAAATGTGAATTTTCTTCAAATTCACTGTCTATGTGTTTAAAACTTTCTTGAAATTCCAAATAACTTTCTTCCATCGAAGATGGTGGTTTCTCTGAATAGTTCTGACCACTTTCTTCATTCTCTACCTTAACGTGCTTTACCACACTGTAATGGGAATTAAATGAAGACCTTGTTTTCATTAATTTTTCTCTATGTGTAGCACTCATAGGCTCCCTCCACCACGTCCAAAGGGTGCAGAAGGCGTACACCGCTGCGGCAGGAAACCAATCCTGGAGCCATTCAGTTTCTTAAGAGGAGAATATTTTATGTCTTGCCTGGGCACTATAACTGTATACTAGTGTTCTGGAATCAGGATGGACAACATAGCCAGAGTCTAATCATTCAGCTTGCACGTAGTCTACTTAATCCTCTTGTATTGGTCTCGTGGCTTTCTTCTGTTTTGTTTTGTCTCTGGTAGCTTAAGCTATGTTCTATTTGGATTACCTCCATCAAAGAACCTTCAATAATTTTCAAGATGATTCAACACTTGCTGTCACCTCATCATTACCTAACTGATGTAATAAAAGGCTGGCATCAAGTACCAGTGAAGAGTGAATCTCTGTTTCCCTGACCGAACTCTACCTCCCTTAGACATTGCTCAGCTTGCAGTACTCCCAGATGCTATTTTCATTGCTATGGAGGGGGTCCGTGTTTCTGCACAAACAAGGATAAAGTAGCTTTACGTGTCAAAAAGAAGAGATGTTATTAATAATTAAAAGCTATAATTTTTGAAAAAAAAATTAATCTATTTTCAAGCTGGGACCAAGAACATGTTAGAAATAGAACATGTCCAGGATACAAAGGAAGAAAAGATAACTGGCAAAGAGGAACGCCATCAGCAGGACTACACAGCCTTTCACACCTCCTTTGCCAGCTTTGTTCCCTTTGCTTCTCTTGGATATCTGATTAGAGCAGCTATGTAGTCAAAACAGAGAGAGTAAAGTGGATAGCAGAAGATAGAGGCAGACTAGTTCGTATATGTAATACTTATGTTTAGGTCCCAAACATGACCTTTCTAAAAATAGATTGAGGAAGCTCTGGTTTAGCAATATATCCAGAAGTTTGTGTTGACACATTGAAACGTGACTATGTTGAAGTGGTGGCAAAGTTAAGAGTCTGGAGTCATTGGAAGCAAGAGTACCACTCTATCACGAGCTAATTGATTATCCTAAGTAGTATTCCATTCAGTTATGGGTATCATATTTTCACATACAGATAATGAGCTTCCTTAGGTATTGACAAACTCTTAAAATGGTTGTATCAATTTGTAGTTTCTCTAGCAATATGTATTCCTGTTTCCCAACATGCACAGCAATGCTTGTTGTTATCTGATTTTAATTTTTGCCAGTTTGATGGGTATAAAATGACATCTTGGAGTTGTTATCATTTGAAGTAAAAAACACTTTCAGAAAAATCCTTTTGAACTTCATGATTTATTTTTCTTTTAATGCATATTTAACTTAACATCTAAAATTAACTGTGAGGTTGTCGGAAATGTCATGACTTATTTTTCTATGCAAAAATGTGTCATGATTTTTCCAACAAACCAGCAGTATGTTTGATTTTCTTCTGAACAACTTCAAAACCTTAGGCTGTCTCAATTCCAAGCATCTCTCCCATTTTCATGCAATTTCTGTGCAACATTTTAGTTGTACAGTTGATCCTCATTAGTCATAGATACCTTATTTGTGAGCTCACCCACTTTCTAAAATTTATTTGTAACCCCAGAAATGAATATTTGAAGCACTTTCATGGTAATTCACAGAGCAACCTGAGTTGCCTGAAAAATATGTTCTCAGCTAGGATTACACAAGGTGATGCTCTGATTTCTTATTTCAGCTCTTATAACTAGGCAAGTGTCCCTTTTCTGATCTATTTAGTTGCCACATTTCCCTTACTTTTGTGCTTTTCAGTGATGATTTTTCTGTTTAAAATGGTCCCCAAGTATAATGCTGAAATGTTGTGTAGTGTTTTTAAATGCAAAATGGCTGATACACCTTATGAAGAAAATCTGTGTGTTAGATAAGCTTCACTCTGACATGAATTATAGAGCTTCTAGTCATGAGTTCAGTGCTAATGAATCAAGAATACAGTATGTCTAGAAAAAGGAAGAGAAAATGCCAATCTGTACATGAGTTCAGTATGGAAAGTTCTAAAGTAACACATGTAATGAATGTTAATGCTATGAAAAAGATAGGAAAGTGGCAAAATGCGTGGATACATGATATGAAGACTGATAATTTTAAAAATAGCATTTTGAGCAACATTGTTGCAAGACTAAAAGCTAAAGAAATTTATGGTAGTATTACCTAGGGTCAGGAAAATGCTCACCCCTTTTCAGTTAGCTGGTTGTCTCATACATTTCTAAAGGTGATAGAGCCATGAAAAAAGTTAAATTGTAGGCAAAGAGGGTACTAAAGATGAGGAGGCTGCAGAATTTTTTTAAAAAAATTCCCACTAAATGGGAACCAGCAGTTAGTGTAATGGCTATGTTGCTGGACTCCCACATAGTCGACCGCGGTTCGTGTCCCAGACCCGGTGGCTTAAAACTCACGCCGGGCGCGTGTGCATGCTTGCCCAAGATCCTGAGAGGAGAATGGAGGAGAAGGGATTGCGGTGTGACCATCCCCTCTGGGGGGTGATTTCTCGCTTTCTGTCTCTATGTCTCTCTCTGTCTGTCTGGTGAGCGCACATGCCCTATAGTGAAAACCTCTCC